AGGACAGGACAGGGTTCAGATCTGTTGTTCAGAGTGCCACTGTGAGTTATACTCTACAGCATTCCTGCATCCACATGCCCGTTGTAGGTGAGGTGATCTTGCCATCCTTGTGTCTAAGAAGCGCCCTGGTTGTACTTCTCCCACCACAGATTTGATTATCCTTTTGACAGTTGCTGGTATATTCAGTACACTTCTCAGACACCATTGTTCAAAGACTAGGTTCTTCTTTGGTCATTCTTAGTAGCTGTACAACTTTCAGATGCATAGGAAGCAACTGAAGATACCATGGCTTGCATTAGGCACACCTTAGTCTTTAAACTGACACCCTTGCCCTTTACCACTTGTTGGGAAAGGCAGAGGATCAGTAAGAGCTAGGAAGACCCTCACCTCAGTGACATGAATTGACACAGTGGCTTCAGCGATGGGCCTGAGTATAATAGAGATCACGGCGATGCCACAGGACAGAGCAAGATGAGATCTGCTGTTCACAGGGCCAGAACTGACTCAATGGCACCTGGCAGCAACAATATCCATGCACCAACATGTGCCTCTGGTGTTAGACATGGGAGAGGCCTCGAGTTCATAGATAGAGAACTTTCGCGAATCCTTTGATGTGTTTCTTGTTGTTGTGGATCTGCCCCTGCTCCATCCTCATAATCTCTCATCTCATCACCCCTGCCTTCCTCATCATCTCGGACATACTTGAGTCCATTGCTGCGGTCACCAGGTCAATCCATCTTGTTGTGGGCCTTCCCGCAACATCTTCCCACTATCTTATTTCCACTTTTCCAAGTCTGACCTCCTTCTCCAAGGACTGGCCTCTCCTGACAAATGCCCGAAGCATGTGAGACGGACCTTCACCATCCTCACCTCCCAGGGGCACCTGCCTGCACTTTCTCCACGACCGACCTGTTGGTTCTCTTGGCGGCCCATGGGATAGCCGGTGCCCTTCTCAACACCGTATTCTTCTTCTGTCATCTTTAGTCGTTGTCCAGCTTTCAGATGCATTTAGAATGGGGTGTCGTCTTCTGCAGGAAGTCCTGGCGGCCTGGAGGATAAGGAGTTGTGTTGCCAACCCAAATGCAAGTGGTTCAGTCTCATCTATCATGAGGGAGAAAGACGTGCAGTCTCCTCCCGTGTGATCTACACGCCTGAAAGCACACCCGAGGGTCAGTTCTGGCTGAGTCCCAGCTCAAGAGCAGTGAGTGAGTTCAGACTGTCTTCTGCACAGAGGGCTCACTGGCTCTGTTAGGTGGCTGTGTGTGTCATGACAAACCTTTAAGGCCCCAGTCACTGCCCTCTTTGGTCCTGGGCACCATGTAATCTCACCACCACCCCAGCTATGGTGTCTGTCTTCAGCGACTTGCTTCAGGGCGGTCAGTAAGGGGCGAGGCCTTGTTAAAGGACCTACTTGCTTGTCACCTAGACAGAAAGTAATTAAAGCAGGGGAGTGTTCTCTGCTGTCATGTGCTGCTGCTAATCCAAACTCGGAGGCTTCCTGTCGGTTCGAATTCCTCAGCGGCTCTTCAGAAGAACGAGGTGCGGTCTTCTCCCGTGTGATTTACGGCCTCAGAACCCTACGGCAGGGTCAGTTGGAGTCAGCTCCAGCTTGATGGCATGGGGGTTGAGTTTTGAGTTCTTACAGCAGGAACTCGAGTCCGTTGACAGTATGTCCCTAATAACCATGAGCTGCTTTCCTGGTCTCTGGGTCAAAACCCTGGCCAGCTCTAGTGATCTCACTGTGATGATGTCATCAGCCATTTCTTCCTCATGGGTGATATGTTCCTAACAGCGTGTGCCCATTCAGGACTCAGTACCACGCAGGAAAGCCCGACACAGGAGTAGCATGGACTGGGCACCAAGCCTAGCGCCGTACAAACTCACAGGAAGACACTGTCCCATGTCGCTTCCTGGGATCAGCTGGTGTTCGGGTTTGCTGCTCGCAGTTACCCACCACGCCGCTAGCCCGCTCCCCTCTAGTGGAAGCTCACCACCCCCGGCTGAGCGGATGGCCCTGAGCAGTCTCTGTGATCAGCAAGCACATGGACACCCTGGGCGAGTCCTTGAGGAGGACGTCTCAGCCCGCAGGGTGCAGGGAGGGCAGCAGGCACTCTGTCCAGTTCCAGACTGTTTCTGGCTCACCGTGTCCCCTCTCCTCCTTCCAGCCCATCAAGGTCTACATCCTGGGACCTCCTGCCATGGGGACAGGGTTTAGGGAGGGTAATGGGCTCTCTGTCCAGATCCAGACTGTTTCCAGCTCACCGTGTCTACTCCTTCCTTCCAGCCCATCAAGGTCTGCATCCTGGGACCCCCTGCCGTGGGGAAGTCCAGCATCGCGGCAGAGCTATGCACGTACTACAAGCTGCACCACATCAAACTCAAGGACCTCATCTCTGAGGCCATCGCAAAGCTGGTAACGTGCCCCAAGATGCGGCCATTCTAGAGTTGCTGTTGTTAGGTGGCATTAAGCCCACTACAGGTCATGGCAACCCTGGGACCCACAGAGCTACCCCTTGTCCTGTCCTGTCCTGTCCTGCACTTCCCACTACCTGTCAGACACTTGAGCCCATCTTACAATCACCATGTCCGTCCACCTCGCTGAGGGTCTTCTGTCTTTTGCTGATCCACTTTTCCAAGTATGTTGTCCTTTTCTAAGGACTGATCCTTCCTGATAATATGCCTGAAATATGTGAGACTGAGTCGCACCATTCTTACCTCAAAGGACTGGTTTACTTCCTCCAAGACAGACCTGTTTATTCTTTCGGCTGGCCATGGGATGTTCAATACTCTTCTCCAACACCACAACTCAAAGGCATCAATTCTTCTGTCATCTTTATTCATGACCCAACTTAGATTTCTTTTGCTTGTGCACTCTCTTGTTCTCTCTCTCTCTCTCTCTCTCAACTTTACACTAGTTTACTTACAAAGTTCATAAACATTGTTTTCCACTCTGGACCTTTCCCCTTTTCTTTACCCTTCTCTTCCTCCACCCATCAAATTGTGCGACCCTATGATTAAGCCCTACCCCCTTGGAGCCTTTTGCTCTTTCTGCAATAATGGTCTTATGCAGTAGTTGTCTATGAGACTGAGTTAGTTCACTCAGCTTAATGCTCTCCGGTCCCTCCCATGTTAGGTGGTAATTTTAAAAATCATTGCTCCTGCGTGCTTCATAGTATTCCATTGTGTGAATGTACCATAATTTCTCAATCCATTCCATTGTGTTTGGGCATTTGGGCTGTTCCCATATTCTTGCTATGGTGAATAACACTTCTATGAACATTGGTGTACAAGTCTCTGTTTGAATCTCAGATCTCATTTTCTCAGGGTATATTTCAAGCAGTGGATTAGCTAGGCCATATGGAATTCCTATGCTCAGCTTTCTGAGCAAATGCTAAACTGCCTTCCAGAGTGGTTGAACCATTTTACAATCCCACCAACTAGAAGAGTTCCTATTTCATCACATCTTCTCCAACATTTATTACTTGCTGCCCTGCTAAACTTTGCCACTGCTACTGTAAAATGGTATCTCATTGTGGTTTTGATTTGCATCTCTCTTATTGCCAGTGATTTTGAGCATTTCTTCATGTGTCTGTTGGCCATCCTCTGTGAAAAGTCTTTCCATGTCTCTTGCCCATTTTGTAATTGGATTATGATTCTTTTTCTTCTGGAGGCCCAGGAATATTCTGTAAACTTTCATTATGATACCCTTGTCTGAGATGGTATTGCCCAATGTTTGTTCCCAGTCAGTAGGTTTTCTTTTCACGCGATTGGAAAAAGTTTCTGATGAGCACAGAGATTTAATCTTTAGAAGGTCCCATTCATCAACTTTATCTTCTTTAGATTTTGCACTTATGGCTGTATTTGGCAGTCTTTTCATACCACAGGCTAGACCTTCTAAACTTGATCCCAGTTTGTCTCTTATGAACTTTGTGGTTTGGGGCTTTATTTCCAGTCTCTGATCCACCTTGAGTTGATTTTTGTGTATGGTGTGTGATGTGGATCCTGTTTGAGCTTTCTGCCATTAGCAGTCCAGTTGTACCAGCACCATTTGTTGAAGCATTTGTCATTTCCCCACTTAATAAGTTTTATTTCCTTTTTGAGCATCAGTTAACTGTAGATAGATGTGTCCATTTTTGGGTTCTCAATTCTGTTCCGTTGGTCTATGCGCCTTTCATTGTAGTGGTATTTTGCTGTTTTGGTCACTACTGCTGTGTAGTAGGCTTTGAAGTCACGGAGTGCCTCCCAATTAATTTTTGGTTTTCAAAAGTGCTATGCTTATTCAAGGACTCTTTCTTCTCCAAAAAAACTTAACAATGTCCCTTTTGGTCTCCTTGAAAAATGAATTTGGTATCTCTATTGAGATTGCATTGAATATGTGGATTGTTTTTGGTAGGACTGTCATTGTCACGATATTGAGTCTTCCTGTCCATGAACATTTTTCCATTTCTTTAGGTTTTTTATTGTGTCTAGCAGAAATGCTCTATAGTTTTCTTTGTACAAGTCTTTTGTGTCTCTAGTTCGGTTCACTCCCAAGTAACTAATTTTCTGGTTAGCTATTATAAATGGTATTACTTTCTTGATTTCCTTTTCTAAGTTCTCTTTGTTACTGTAGAGGAATCCCACCAATTTTTTTTTTATATTGATCTTGTATCCTGCCACTCTACTATATTGGTCTACTAGCTCTACAGTTGTTTTGTTGAGTCTTTGGTATTTTCTTTGTACACTATCATATCATCTGCAGATAGCAACAGTTTAACCATCTCTTTGGGATACCTTTTATTTCCTTCTCTTGTTATATTGCCCTAGGAAGTACTTCCAAAACAATATTGAATAGAACTGTCCCAGTTCACAAAGAAAATACTTTTGGCCTTTCTCCATTGAGAATGGTATTGGCTCTTTGTTTTGCATATATACTTTTTGCTGTATTGAAGAAATTCCAATTTTGCTGAGTGTCTTAATCAGGAACAGGTGCTGGACTTTGTCAAATGCCTTTTCTGCATCAATAGCTGGTATCACATGGTTCTCGTTTATTTAGCAGGTCTATCATGTGGTGCATAAATGTTGATCGATATTATGTCTTCTTGATCTACAGTGCTGTTAATAATTATATAGTGCTCTTCTTTATCTTTTATGGTGGTTTTCATTCTGAAGTCTATTTTATCAGAGATTAGTATTGCTACTGCACTTTTTTGTGGATGCCATTTGCTTGGTATCTTTTTTTCTTTCCAGTCTTTGCTTTTCAGTCTATCTTTCTTTTTGCTTATTAGATGTGTCTTTTGTAGACAACATATTGATGGGTTTTTTATCCATTCTGCCACTCTTTTTCTCTTGATTGGTGCATTTAGTCCATTCACATTAAGTGTGATTATTGGCAGGCCAGGTTTTATCATTGCCATTTTGCTGTGTTTCTTTATTTGTGTTTCTTGTTACAATGTTCCATCCACTTTCCTTTGACGACTCTGTTTGAAGGACTTTCCTTAAAAGTACTTGTATGTTTAGTCTTGTTTTCACAGATTCCTTATTTCTTTTCTGCAAAGGATCTAATTTCTCCTTCGTATTTGATGGAGAGCTTTGCTGGCTACAGAATCCCCAGTTGGCAATTGTTTTCTTTCAGCTTCGTCCACATTTGGACCTCCAGCTGCGTTCCCTCTACAGTGGTTAGTGGTGGCCACCAGGCACCATCTAGTTCTTCTGATCTCAGTCAGAATCGTGGAAGTTGCTGTTGTTGTGTTTCAGTTTTGACCAGTTGTTTCTGTGGCTTTTGTTTTCCTTCCTCTTTCTTTGTTCTGGGCAGAGAGAATTAGCTTAGCTGGCTGCTCAGAGCTCAGAAGACCCTCGGTGCTACTCAGGGTTTAGGGTGAGGACCTAGAGTCTCGTCTTTGTGAACTCTGTTATACCACTTGGCATTGATGCTCCCCAAGACTATGACCTCAAGGCCCTGGGACCAGCATAACTTTGCCCCACTATTGGATCTGCTGTGTTTGTGGGTATATCTGCAGCATGGAGAATGAAAAGTTTGAACATACACAGTGTGAATGCCAAAATGTCACATGCCAAACCTGTGTAAGGTCATGGGTGTCACTCCTCTCACCTGCCCGTGTCTGCTCATCTTGCTGTCTGCCCACATGCACGCACTTTCGATCTGTTGATAGTTGCTCATACTTCAAGGTTGTGTGTGTAGCAGTGTGTACCTCCCCTGGGTATATCTCCTGCTTCTCTCTGTGTCATCCTCTTTAGAGACAACGTGATAATCATTTCACTATTGTATGTTGTCTTTCAAAGACTTTACTCTTATTTGACCCAACATTAGCACAAAGTATGCATCATAATCTTTAAAAGTTGAGTAGGAAAACTCTTGAGAGTTTTCACATGTGGTTCCATTCCTCAGCCTGGAGGTCCTTGTCTCCATCACTGCTTCCTTGCTTCTCTGGACTCAGTTCACTCTTCCTTCTCCCCAAAGAGGGTAATTTAAGACTCACCCTACACTAATCCTTCTTCATTAGCATAATCAGGGAAGCACGTTTCCAGGTGAGATTATAAACACCCCCAAGTACAGGGGTTGGGATTTCCAACAGGTAAGAAGGGAGTGGGAGTCCATATCAGGCACTGCACCTTTCTGGGGACAGCCTTTCTCCGGGATCACCTGACCCCCAGGTGCGTATAGTGCATCCCACATGTGAGTATCCCTGTGGCATGTAGGAGGTGATTGTCGCACCTAAGGAGGGAGGGGAAGAGGAAGAGGAAGAGGAGGAAGAGGAAGAGGAGGAGGAGGAGAACGTGGAGGAAGCACAGGAGCTGCTGGACAACATCAAGGAGAGCATGGAGCAGAATGCAGGTAACACAGCGCACCTCGAGCAGAACCTTACCACCTGCTGACTAACGGGCAGAGCTGAGGACGCACAGCCCTCGTGTGGGGTTAGGGTCAAGTGCCAGCGTGGTGGGTGGGCAGTTACGATGCCGCCACCCCTGTGGAGGTGCCATGGAGCCTGCACAGCCCATGTTCAATGCCATCCTGCTCCGACTCAGCCATGGACAATGCCATCCTCAGTCACTCCTGTGCTCCAGTTTATTGGACAGCTGTTGTATCAACTATGGGTTTAGGGTCTTCCTCTTTCTCACTGATTCTCCTTTCCTGGGGGTGCTCTGGTGGCATAGTGGATAGGGAGTTGCACTGCCAACCCAAAGGCAGACAGTTCAGGTCCACTAGCTGCTCCACAGGAGAAAGATGAGCAGTCTCTACCCCTGTGGTTTACGCCTCTGAAAGCCCCTAAAAGTCGGTTCTGACTCAGCACCAATGAGCTTTCTTAGTTCCTCTTTACTAAGCAAGATGTCTCATCATCCTCTGATGTCAATACTTGCTTGAGAGCCTCTTCTATGGGCAACCAATCAGTTGTAGTTTCCTCCAGGATCCAATACCCGTGGATGTTCTGGCGGTGTCTGGCTTTTTTGCTCACTCTGGAGGCTGCATCTTGCTCTCAGCATCTGACCTCTGGGTCTTGGGACTTGAGCCAGTCATCTGCCATATTGTCTACCAGTCTTGGATTCATCAGCTTCTGCAGCCCAGGATGCTGCTGTCTGACTTGCTAGGTTGGGGATTGTCAGCTCCTATAGTTATGGACTCGGGAGAAGCCTCTAGCCTGACGTCTGACCCAAGGCTGGGGTTTACCAGCCTTTGCAAAGCTGTGAGCCATTTCCTTGAAATCAGTTCCTTTCTCTCTTTAGACATATATAACTCCACTGGTTTTGCCTCTCTACAGAGAACTCAGCCTATGACAAACAGCAAAACAGTCTCATCCATTTTTCTTCCCCCTGGAGAATATCACTGAGAACAGAACACTTTTTTTAAATTATTAATTTCAGTGAAAATTTACACAGACTCTGGAGTTCCATTCATTCATTGTTGCACATTTCTCCCCCACCCCCAGTACACTACCCTCTTTGAAAAGTAAAAGAAAAATTCTTTCATTGTTATACAATCCCTCCCCCCGGTCCACTCCACTATGCAGCCTTCATTCTGGACTCCTGACATGACAAAAATACCTAATCACATATCCCTTTTAAACAGTTCCCTCCCTCATCTGTTTCAATGCAGTATACATTATTTATCCCATCTTTCTCAGTCTCCTCCCCAACCCCGATGTCAGTCTCATTTTACAACAGTGGCACCATGCAGTAACTTCACTCAGCATAATGTCCTCCAGGGTCACCCATTTTAAATAATATTACATGAGTTCCTTGTTTTTCTTTTTGTTTTGTTTAAATTTATTATTAATTTCAGTAAAAATTTACAGAGATTTTGGAATTCCATTCATTCATTGTTGCACATTTCTCCCCCACCCCCAGTACACTACCCTCTTTGAAAAGTAAAAGAAAAATTCTTTCATTGTTATACAAACCCTCCCCCAGGTCCACTCCACCAGGCAGCCTTCACTCTAGACTCCTGACATGACAAAAATACCTAATCACATATCCCTTTTAAACAGTTCCCTCCCTCATCTGTTTCAATGCAGTATACGTTATTGAACCCATTTTGCTCAGTATTCCCCCAACCCCAAGGTCAGTCCTATTTTACAACAGTGGCACCATGCCGTATTTGTCCTTTTGTGACTGAGATACTTTACTCAGTATAATGTCCTCCAGGGTCACCCATTTTGAATAATATTTCATGAGTTCCTTGTTTTTCAACGCAGTGTAGTATTCCATTGTGTGAATATACCAGAGCTTCTCTCTATGCGTTTGTTTGTTGATGGGCACTTAGGTTCTTTCCAACTCGTTGCTATTGTGAACAAAGCCCCAGTAAACATGGATGTGCATATATTTGCTTGGAGGTCAGTTATGGTTTCTTTAAGGTATATTCCCAGTAGTGGAATTGCTGGGTCAAATGGTATCTCTATTTGCAACTTTTTGAGAAAGCTCCACACCGCCTTCCACAGTGGTTGCACCATTTTACACTTCTACCAATAATGAATAAGGATTCCAGTTTCTCCACAACCTCGCCAGCATTTGTTGCTTGCTGTTCTGTTAAATTTTGCTATTCTGACTGGGGTGAGATGATATCTCATAGTTGTTTTAAGAACAGAACAGTCTTAAGTGTAAAAAAAAAAGTCAGATTTGTGTTCATTGATATTTTGTAAACAAAAATTATCATTTAAACTGCTCAGATAAGTTAAGAAGAAGATAATAAAATCTTTCGTAGACACAAGGAGATCATGTACCAATAGTTTCTAGAACAAAGAAAAGGGAAAATGCTTTCAGTTCCCAGGGCCATTGTATCTGTTTTGTTGAACAAACTCCCCTCAGTGAGCTAGCACTCCAAGGTCAGTCTTCATTCTCTGTCCACTGTGGGGGACATTTCAGGCTGCCCTTACTGCTGCTCCCCAGAGTGTGTGGCCCGTGGCTTGACCGTGCTTTGAGAGGCCTGTTCCAGTCCGACTCCGTAACCACAGGCTTAGCCTGAGCTGAGTGTGCAGGGAACTGCGGGTCAGCAGGAGCACGCTTCATCTTCCTCCTTCACCAGCTCAGGTCCCCGTCCAACCAGCTCTGCTGCTGTGTCTCACCAGTACTTTGAACTCTTACTAATATAGTTCAACCTACAAAAGCTGAAATCTGTATAAGGAAGAAGCCTGTCAAAGAAGGAAACCCTCAATTATTTCCAGTAAACGAGTGATAGAAGCTTGGAGAGGCACGAAGCTACACGGACCTGGAGATGCAAGGTGATCCTAGCCACCTCCCGCTCTCACAGCTCGTCTGTAGGACTCACCTCGCTGTCCCTTCTGCGATGCCTGGCTTCCACTGTGCTTTCCAGGGGCTGCTGTCACAGGTGAACATGAAGGTGGTGGCTTACCACAGCAGAAATGGATTCTCTCTGTTCTGGAGGCCGGAAGCTTGTGGTCAAGGTGTAGAAGGAACAAGCCCCCACCAAAACTCGAGTGGAGGAAGTGACCTAGTTTGTTCTGGCTTCTGGTGGCCCCCCAAGAGTTCTTGGCCTGTGGCCCTCCCCCTCCAGTCTGCTTCTCTCTTCATGTGGCTACCTCCTCTCTGTTTCTTTGTGTCCTGCCCTCTTACAAGGACCCCGATCACGGAATTGAAGGTTTGTCCTAAGTTTGAGAAGTTTTCCTATCAAGATCTTTGGCAGATTCATTTGCAAAGACTCTATATGAAAATAAAGTCATATTCTGAGGTGCTGGGTGAATATGGACTTTAAGGGACATGCTTAAAAGACATGAGTGTCTTTGCTCTCGCTCGTCCAGGCTGGGGCTGAGGACAGTGGGGACCAGCGGAGATGGCACACCCTGGTAGCTGGCTCAGTTGGTGAAGCTGCTGGCAGCTGGTGGCACCTCAGAGGCTCCCGTACGGCTGCCAGTGACAGGTCCTGAGAGCAGAGCTCTGCACTGCCCTCTCTGTCTCTGGTCTTCTGGCCCCTGCTGTCTGACTCTCTAGGTGCCTCAGCTTGTATGAGGCCAGTTTTCCGTCCAACATCATTCCCCACATGCCTACATGACCTCCATGCCGCCAAGGGACACTCAGGTGCCCAGGGATGTTTTCTGGTGGCCAGACTGAGTGTCCATTGTTGTTGTTGTTAAGTGCCGTACAATCGCAGGCAACTCATAGCAACCCTAGGAAGGAGAGTCCTCGACGCTTGGGTGCCTCTCATCCTCTCTCCAGGTTCGTAGGGTTTCTGGAGGCAAGCTATTATGGAAGTGGATGCCACTCCTCCTTCCAAGCTTCGTAGTGGACCTTATTCCTGTTGTTGATGGTGTTAAGTGCTGCTGACTCAGCTTCATCTCCTAGTCACCATATGCCCAGCATGAAAGCCTCCCTGAGCCTGTGCCATCCTCCGTCCCTGCTGGACTGAAGGCCCCTGTCCTTCCTGTGTCAGTCCTTCTCACTGAGGCCCTTCCCCCTCTATGAGACCTTTCTCCAGGACCTGGTCCTTCCTTATAACCTGTCCAGACGGTGTGAGTCCTGGCGTCCTTGCTGCCGAGAGGGACTCTGGCTGCACTTTCCCAGCACAGATTGACTTGCTCTTGATATCTTTTTTTTTATTTTATTTTAATAATTTTAATGAACATTTACAGAGATTTTGGATTTCCACTCACTCATTGTTGCATTTTTCTCTGAGCCCAGCCCTTCCCCCTTCACCCCCCCGTTCTTGATATCTTTGATAATTTTTGACAGCACCACAGTTGAGAGGTACAATGAGTGGACCTCCCTGTCCAGAGCAAAGAAGAGAAAAGCAAAGCTGTTCTTAAACGAGAAATCCAAAGGACTGAGGTGACACACAGACCTCAGCAGGCACGAGCCTGAGACCAGAGCGCTCCCACCACTGACCACCCTGTAATGGTTCAGAGCAGAGTCAGTGCCCATCTCCCACCGCTGACCACTCTGTAGTGGGTCAGAGCAGAGGTGGTGCCCGGCTCCCACGGCTGACCACCCTGTAATGGGCCAGAGGAGAGGTGATGCCCATCTCCTACCGCTGACCACTCTGTAATGGGCCAGAGTAGAGGTGGTGCCCGGCTCCCACCGCTGACCACTCTGTAATGGGTCAGAGCAGAGTCAGTGCCCATCTCCCAACGCTGACCACTCTGTAATGGGTCAGAGCAGGGGTGGTGCCTGGCTCCCATCACTGACCACTCTGGAAGGGACCACAGAAGAAGGTCCTGGACAGAGTGGGGGGAAATGTGGAACAAAACTCAAAAACATACCAAAGGTCAGGCCTGCTGGCCCTATAGAGACTGGTGGAGCCCCGAGACTATGGCCCCTAGTGACCTTTTGAACTTGGAACAAGACTCATTCTATGGCTCAGCTTTCAAACACTAGACGGTGATGGAAGGT